TCTCTTCCTGTAAGATATTTACATTCTCTAACACTAAATTCTTCAGAGTATAGCATGCAGACAGTGCTAGCTGTGAGCTGTTTATTACCTGTCTGTGAGGAGATAAATTCAGAAGTTGAGAGTTGGGGATAGGGGCTCATGCCTCTAATCCTAGCAACTCAGGAGGCTGAGTGAGGCAGGAGAATTGTTTGAGGCTAAGAGTTCCAGACCACCCTAGGCAACGTAGCCTTAATCTCTAAAAGAAAAATAAGAGGAATTGTACCTATAGTCTCAGCTACTCTAGAGACTGAGATAGGAGGATTGCTTGTGCTCAGGAGTTTGAGGTTGTAATGGGTTTATGATTTTACCAGCACACTCAAGTCTGGGCTACAGAGGGAGACCCCATGTCTTTAAAAAAAAAAAAGAAAGAAAAAGAAAAAAAATTGAGTTTTTAGAAACTTGCATAGTAATTTGATAGAGCAATTTATGTCTGTTGACTTTAATAACAACATGTTTAGACTTGTATTTGGCCTATCTGTAGTTCATTTTTCTAGTAATTTTTTTTGTTGGGGGGTGGGGCTAGAGTCTCATTTTGTTGCCCTTGGTAGAGTGCTAGGGCATCATATCTCACAGCAACCTCAAACTCTTAGGCTTAAGCAATTCTCTTGCCTCAGCCTCCTGAGTACCTGGGACTACAGGCACTTGCCACAATGCCCAGCTAATAATTCATTATTTTTTTACAAACTTGTTAGCCCACAGTGAATTGGAAATTTAAAGAAAAAGAGTACCAGAGAAAATTTGCAAAGCACTGTTCTGAAACAGTGGTTCACAGCTTTTTGTATGTTTGTCTAACCTTCTGAATAATAACCATACTCAAGGGGAGGTGTTGGGTGATGTTTCCCTACCAATGGTCTTTTGAAGTATGTCTGAATAGGAGTGAGGAATGGGTTAGAGTCCTTGCAAGTGTGGTATTTTTCTTAAACATTGTTCTAACACATGTGACCTTTTTTCTTTCTCTACCTATATGAAGATAAGAAATTAAAATTTTTTGTAAGTTTTATACTTGTTTAGAAATTATGGCTTGGCGCCTGTGGCTCAAGCGGCTAAGGTGCCAGCCACATACACCTAAGGTGGCGGGTTCGAATCCAGCCCGGGCCCACCAAACAACAATAATGG